GCTACTTCTCCTGCCATTGGCTAAGTACGCAGGATATTAGAGGGCTACAATTATAAATCATTAAATCAGTTTGAAACTTGTTTAAAAACGGTTGCAACTCAATGCCGTGCGGGTTTTAAAAAATGTTGAGAAAGTATTAAAAAAGGTATTAAAAAGTGTTAAATTTAACCTCTGGATTTCTGTATATACCCTGAATGATATATTAGTAAATCGGATTAGCAAAGATGTTAGAAACTATTTTCATCCCAAATTGTATCCAGTGCAGACTTTTTTTACCAAGGCAATCACACTGTGAACTTTTATGCGGATGCACCGATGCGAATTAGTGAATCTTACCATCCTAGTGGAAAGTGTATTGAAGGACTTTTTGAAGAATTTCTCCTTTATCTTGCAAGATGAAGTCCAATCATATCACTGAAATAGTGCTCATTTTGAGCTTTTCGATGAGCTTTATCTGAGCCATGTAGCTGTAATATGCATTTTTACATCCTGGTTTGGAGGGCTGAAGCGACTTTCTAATGTCAGCGATGACTCAGGACTCTACGCTAACTTTTTCTTTCAAGGAGCACTTCTGCCCCTTATTTACAAAATTTAGGAGCACAGACAAAAATTAGGGAACACATTTAGTTCTCAAACTTTATGCATCATTAATATACCATTTCACATACACACTAGTGGAATGGAAAGGTTAAGAATGACAGACAAAACTGTCAAAGAACTAGATTTTTATTTTTGCATTTTAGATTTCTTTTGATGTTTTATCCTATTCCACATTACAATTCATTCTGTAATTAAGTCCGAGTGGCTTGGCCAAGCTTTGTACTTATAGTGTATGTAACTGGTGTATCTGGGTTGTGTGAATTTCCTTTTAAACTCATGACACCATGTCCTGATAGCAAATTAACAAATTCAAAATGAACAGATTTTGTGTAATTGTATACATTAAACAAAAATAACCCTGTTACATACATATATAGCGGCAAATTAAAAAGTAAAACAATTTTGCTAAATAAGCATATAGTTGCACCTTCATCCAAGGTGCATTACAGCCCTTTTGTTTGAGCTAATGTGCCATTAATGTTAATAACAGCAGCGAATCTAACACCCTCAAGCAAAAAGTTGTAAGGTTCCTAACAGAGTGTTTCCTCTGTCCTGAAATGATTAAGCTTAAAAGGTGTATGTTTTTTCTAAAATGTTGGATAAATAGACGTAGTTTACTGGTGATTTTTATATATGTCAAAGTTTACGTTTTTATTACGTTTTTGCGTGTATAAAGTAATTTTTTTAACACAAATCAACTCAGGTGAAACAAAAAACCGTTCGTTTTCAGGGTTGGTAACTCTCATGCATCTGGCCATTATAAACCTAAAATGAGCGACATCAAAAGCGTTGGGGTAGATTGCAAACCCTAGTATAGACTATTTAAAAGGTAATTAACTCTTACATTCATGTAAATGTGTGTGCAGACTTTCCTTGAATTGAAAATCACACTTCAGCCAGCTGACCAAAGTTGGAAACCCTGCGTTTTATTTTAAATGAACTGCAAAATGCACTGTTTTTGAAGGAAGCAGCTTCTTACTCTGTTTGCATTGTTACTCCGACAATTATGTAATGAATATGAGAAAACATTACATATAACATTTTTAAATATCTTTTCGAAATAAGACCGCTCGTACCCAACTGTAATAGCGATTAAAGTGTACTTAGTATATTATAAAATATACATGTTTATTTACATAAAGGGACATGCCATGCTATTTCTCTCAAAACTTGGAAAAAGGGTAATGTATAATATATACCATCACCATCCAAGAAGGGAAAAATACCATGATAATAATTTTAGGTCATATTGTCACATTAAATACTTCTGAGGTGCCTGCTGGTTCTGAAGCAGCAGAATGTAGCGTGAAACTCGACTGGCATGTAAATATATGCAAACATAGAGGTGTGTGTGAAGTGTGGCTCACTCGCTCACTCACTGCTTTTTCATGTTTCATGTCATGTTTTTCTTAGGCGATTTTACAAGTAATTCGAACCAGTGCCCCTAAATCTTTCTTTCACACCGACATTTTTACTCGCATATGCGAGTGTAATGGGCACACTTTAGAGCCCTGTGACTTTCAACTTATCTGGTAGTGCTGCGTAAATCGAAGGATGACCTCAAGTGACCTTCAGAAAGAATGGGAAACATTAGGTGTGAAGTGCACTGCCTATAAACCCATAAAGCAAGGAAGGAACCCTTCATCAGTGAGAAGCAGGCAATCTGTATTTTACACATGCACATATCCATAAATTGAGAAATGAGCAAAACTGAAAATTTTGCTGTGATTTCTTAAGTTTTTTAAGGTGAAATGTTAACCTTGGCCATTCATTTCTTTCCATCCTTTTTGTGTCCACCTTAGATCTCCCCATGGCCACAAAGCTTTGTGAGAACTCGTGTGTTTCAAACTGCCAGCCTCCTGCCAAGAGGAAGAACATGCAGAAGACCCGGCTGTCCTTTGGTCAGGATATCAGCAGAGGTGTGGCTGCGTGCCCTCCCCGCTGTGCCCGTTCCTGCCGTGCCCGTTCCTGCCGTGCCCTCCCCCGCCATGCCCTCCCCGCTGTGCCTGCTCCTGCCGCTCCTGCCGTGCCCGCTCCTGCCGTGCCCGCTCCTGCCGTGCCCTCCCCACTTGTATTCGCCTTGGCACATTTACTGAGGGAACATCGCTGGTTATTTCATTATTATGTTGCCAATTTTACAGAGTCCATTTTTTCTGTTCCTCAGAGCAAATGATGTTTGAGGTGACAATGAAAGGAAAAAGCATTAAAGGTAAATAGAAGTTGCTATTTCATTTTAAGTGGTGAGAGAATCTTTCAGCTGGTTGTTGGTTTAAAATAAGTCACCTCTGTCCTCTGCCCAGATTACTGCCTGTCATGTGGAAGCTCCAGCACTGAGATTTTTCACCCGCTGTTTGAGGGCAGCCTCTGCCTGAAATGCAAGGTATTATCATGACCTGGAATCATTTCTGTATCATTTCCTCATTTCTCTGAGCAGATGTTTATGGATGATGTTTTGTCTCCCATAGTGATAAACTTGATTCACATTTCTGTTTATCTGGCCACAGCTCCATTCTATTGTTATTTGATTGGCTGCTGACTCGACCCCCTCCATTTCCGGCCTCTTAAAGATATCTCCTGCCATTCCTTACAGGAAAACTTTTCAGAGACTCTATATCGCTATGACGATGATGGCTACCAGTCCTACTGCACGGTGTGCTGTGCTGGCCAAGAGGTCATCCTGTGTGGCAACCCCAACTGCTGCCGGTCAGTGACATCTGACCTCGAACACGCCCCTCCCCCCGTTCTGCATCGCTGTGGTTTGGCTGTATAAGATAAAATTAATGTAACATAAAGCCTACAAAGCAGCCAGTTTAGTATAAATTCAGCTTGTGTTGTGTTTCTTTAGCCTTGCAGCTATGGCATCTTCAAACAAAATGCACATTCAGCGCATGGATGGGATCAAAGCTAACAGATACAGTAGATCAGACATGAGGCTAGAAAAATGAAAGGACAGTGTGTATAGGGTGGGGAGAGTATTTGCACTGGGTAGCTAGGCTAAGAGCAAGAATAAAAGGTGAACATGTGTCTGTTAAGTCAAATGTGCAGAAATAAACACACACGGGACAGAGAGAACGTGCAGGAGAATCACACGTGGCCTGTGTGTGTAGCTGCTACTGTAAGGACTGCCTGAACACGCTGGTGGGTGCAGAAACATTTGAGCGGCTAATGGAGGTGGATCCCTGGAGCTGCTACATCTGCCAACCCCCGCGGCGTCACGGCGTGCTGAGCCGCCGGCCTGACTGGAGCGTACGCGTGCAGGAGTTCTTCGCTAACAACAGCGCCATGGAATTCGTAAGAGCCCGTCTCCATGATGCCGTGTGTACGAGCACTCGCTATGCCTCTGAAAAAAAAAAACCCGCCGGACAATAAAGGACTGTGTTTCTGTCACTCTGCGAGAAACACTAAACCTCATATCCCCCCCCAAAAGGAGCCGCACAGAGTCTACCCGTCCATCCCCCCCAACCGGCGGCGACCCATTAAGGTTCTCTCTGTGTTTGATGGCATCGCAACAGGTTAGTGCCCTCCCCACTGCCAACATGCAATCCGCAATACAATCAATTTGTATGGTAAAATGTATATTTTAGCTCAATTTTTTTGTTAGTTTTCTCATCTCTTCATAACTCTTGCCTTGGATTTGATTAAATACTTTTATTTATTATAGAAATAAATAATAATATAATAAAACTGATCAACTACCACAGAGGCAAAATCAAGTTTGGACAATGAAGAGTTGTATAATTTTCATCTTCCTTCAAACTGATTTTAAAATTTAGAGAAAATTGGTATGTTATGATAATGAGTTTGTGAGAATGACCCATATACTTTCCTTTGTGGTAATTCTACATTGATTTGGGGATTCAGTGTATGTATGATTATAAGTTTGATGGGTGTGATTAATCACTGTATTAGCAAGTAGAACAAGTGTTGCTAGAATATTGTAGTGTAGACTTTCCATCGCTTGTAGACACGTACATGCTAACTAACAATATGTCATGACTTTTTCGCTCAAAGTAACTAGGTTGTTAATAGTCAATACTAATGACTGACATAGAAATACAAATTTGTGTATTTCTACGTGCATACAACTGTCTGAATATCCCTGCATGAACTAGTTCTGTCTGTTCTCACAGGGTACCTGGTGCTCAAGGACCTGGGCTTCAAGGTGGAGCGCTACATCGCCTCGGAGATCTGTGAGGACTGCATTTCTGTGGGCATGATCAAGCATGAGGGCAAGATCGAACATGTGAGCGATGTGCGAACCATCACCAGGAAGCACGTACGTAAGCTGCTGAGCCCGGAAGGTTTGGTTTCTATAGGCACCACATTGCTGTGCTTGTTGGCTTTCCCCTGTATTCCTAACAAGACCAGGGGCCAGTTCCACAAAGCAGGATTACTTGCTTAGCCAGATAACTTGCCAGATTTAAGGTAGTCTGGGCTAAATGTAAGCTGATGAAAATAAGGTCTGTTTAGCCCAGACTACCTTAAATCTGGCAAGTTATCTGGCTAAGCAAGTAATCCTGTTTCGTGAAACAGGCCCCAGGCCTCACAAACTCAGCTGTTGTATCAGGTAACAGAGTGAGTGCCTCTTAGTTCAGCAGCTACCTGATCTCATCCCGGTCCAGATTGCCGAATGGGGACCGTTTGATCTCCTGATTGGTGGGTCCCCCTGCAACGATCTTTCCTGTGTCAACCCTGCTCGCAAGGGATTATATGGTATGGAAATCCTTCACTCTACTCTTACGTAGAAGTCTTGCACACTGGCTGATTACTCCATCAGAAGGCAGTGTAGGTCCATCTATCACATATAGAGAATTAGAACTGTTCAATGGTGAGCTAAAAGCACCCTGCAATCTGCTTCTATGGTGCCACCAACAGAGGGCACAGGGCGGCTTTTCTTTGAGTACTACCGCCTGCTGACCCTCCTGAGGCCCAGGGAGGATGACGATCGCCCTTTCTTCTGGCTCTTTGAGAATGTGGTTTCCATGGCATCTCACGACAAAGCTGACATCTGTCGCTTTTTGGAGGTAAGGAGTGCTCCTCTTCCTGGGCCTCCAGTAGGAGATCTTGAACACTCTGTTAATGTAGTAGCCCTTCTAGTGAGCAAATGCATTGTACTGAAATAGACCAAACTTGAATTCTGTATGTCATGTATCCTGTCCAGTGTAACCCAGTTCTGATCGATGCTGTGAAGGTGAGCCCAGCCTACAGAGCTCGCTACTTCTGGGGAAACCTGCCCGGCATGGATCGGTAAGTCCTGCCCATAAACTTACATTCAGAAGATGATGTTCAAGAAATGAACTGGAGAACTTTAGTGTACTAAGAGTAAATGTCTATTATGTACAAGTTATTAAGAAGTGATAAAACCTGTATATTTCTGTGGAGGATATAATTGGAGAACATAAAGCATTGTCCAAAGAAATGTGCAGTGAGGGAGATAATACACCACAAGCATACAGCTGCCAAGATCCCAACTAGGTGCTGCTAGGCTGAGCCTCTGAAGACGAATCTGTAACTACTGCAAGTTGGGTTTGGAGCAAGAGCTGTACAACAGCAAATAGTAATAATATAGCAATTACAAAAGAGCTATTGAATTCAGACTCCATGAGAACTATGTTCCTACTGGATATGTTCAAAATACAAGACACCTAAATGAAGTTATGGCCAGTGACAGTGGTATCCCAGAAGTCATGGATCTTGAGGTGTTTCACAAAATTAGAAACTCATTTATGACATCAACATTGAAAAGACTTGTTTACAATTATGTGGTCACATGATCTCCTGCCCCCACAGATCCATTGCCTCGTCTGTAAACGACTGCCTTGAACTTCAGGACTGCCTTGAGATCGGACGGAAAGCCAAGGTTATGGTCGCCTCCAGACCGCTTTATTACATTAATTTCTTGTATTATGTGTTTGTATTAGGGCTGCACAATGTCATGATATCACATCACAATTTGTGTAATCAAATTAGTTGATGGTGTTGCTGCAAGTTGTGTCAACATACACAAAGCAGTACCAGCAAATTTGATGTGATTGTTGCTAATGTGCACAATATATTGTGCAGTCCTGAAACAATATATTGTTCAGCACTAATTTGTTTGCTTAGTTATGCTTAAATATTCCTCTTTGTTGTATCACACCCAGCACTAGCTGTCTTGCATTCCTCAAAGCAGGGCACACCTGTACCCTTTCACCTGCCATTCTTGTTGCTTCGGACTTGCTCCACATTGAATGCTCATGTCCTCCTCATATTCCTCAATAGTACAGTAAAGTGCGTACCATCACAACCAAGTCCAACTCCATACGGCAGGGCAAGATGGGGCCGCTTCCAGTGACCATGAATGACAAAGAAGACTACCTGTGGTGCACCGAGATAGAGCGGTGAGGGCAAAACCTGTGGTCCTGTCTAGTTTGCAGAGAGAGTGATCTGCTGCTTGGCTAACGAGAGCTATCAAAGGGCTGCCTGTCTGCGTCCTCTCAATTCCTAAACATACCATTTTCCCGTTTCTTCACTGATGTTAACATGAACGTCCTCTCCTGCAGGATTTTTGGCTTTCCAAAACACTACACCGACGTCAACAACATGGGCCGAGGGCAGAGGCAGAAGGTTCTGGGTCGGTCCTGGAGCGTCCCGGTAATCCGTCACCTCTTTGCCCCGTTAAAGGACTATTTCGCCTGTGAATGAATCTGGGCAAGAAACGACACAGAAATGCAAACTATTTTTACCGGATTAATCTGTTTTAACTGATGAACTAACATTTTTCATAGACGGTGACTACAAAGAATACCTCAATTGTGTTCAGTTTTATTTGGTTTACATCATTTTAAATGATTGATGTTTCCTCCAGAGTGGTAAGACTTTTCTTTATAGTTATTTTTAAATCACTGAAATCTACCTCACTGACCTATTGTTACAGAGTCAGTGTCCGTTGAAAAGTCTTTATCTGTTTGTGTTGGTAAATTCAATACTGCTCAAATTTTAAACCTTATATGGTTTTTGCATTATATTGTACTGTTTCTCTTACAAAGGGCTATTATTATTATTATTATTGTTATTATTGTTATTATTATTATTATTACAAAACAAGGAAAGAACCAAACTCCAAAATGAAAATAAGACAAATTGCCATATTTTTTAATCGTTGTTACTTTTCAAAAATAATAGGATCCACTGTGGGTAATAATTTATGATTGATTCTAAGAATTAAATTGCTATAAATATTCTCCTAAAACCAAAGTTATCCTATGAAAAATCAGAAATATAGATAAAAAGATTTTTTTTGTTTAAATCTGGTTACAATTGACTATACAATTGAATGTTTCTTTACTCAGTAGTTATTTCATTCAATTTTATGATTATTTAGACACAAGTATTTGTGAACAATTGTAATCACCTTCAAAATGTTTCTTCTTAATTACATTTTAGTAGAATTTTTTAATTAAAATTTTTATATGACATAAATGAAGCTTTTTATGCTGTTCATATTTACACTGATCCCGTGAAAATCGGTGTGTCGTCTTGGAGACGGGGGACAGTTAACTTTGTTTCTTTTGTTGGAAACTGACAAAAATATGTTATTTCAAATTATGTGACACCATTCAGGCAATAGGTGAGCTGAGTGACAGCCGCGCCTATGAGACATAAGTGCCTGACAGTGGATAAGCACATTCCTTTGGGGCTGGCTTTGCTTTTGATCCGGTAGTGAATGTGGAGCTACTAGATTTAGTTTGATTAAGCTTAAAATAAATAGGAGTGCTGAACTTGCCCATATGACTCCACCACTGTCATGTGTGATGCATGTTTTAATAATGCACTAAAATGTGAAAAGTTATTTCTTAAAATCGATGTAATTCTCTTTAAGTATGATATTTGGACTTTCCTTAAGTGTGTGTGTGTGTGTGTGTGTGTGTGTGTGTAGAGGGGGGGGAGCCTTAAAATTAATTTAAGGAGGAGTCAGTAGTGGGCAGCAACACTTGGTTAATCTGTTACTTTTTCCTGTAGCATTTGTGTTAATTTCAGACTGCATGTTTAGGACATAACGAAAAGAAATATAAGCATGATCTCTGTAGGCGGTGTGGTGGTTCAGTGCACTGCCACCTCTAACCTCCAACATGTTTTTTCAAATCCCACCCATGCTCTGTGTGTAGAGTCTGTACATCCTACCCATACTATTCCTTCTCTAAAGGCATGCAGTTACGTAAACTGTGTGTCACCCGCCTTGTGCCTCATGCTGCCGAAGATGTGTTTTTAGAACAAAATGACACCTTCAGTCTTGATGTTTAGGATAGCAAAAGTCTATCATAAAAAAGTGAAATTATGGCCTAGATGTGACCCAAGATGTACTTCTTTCTCTTGTATGGTGGTACGTGTGTTGTTACCATTCCCTGTTCAATCAGAATTTGTCAATATGCATAATCTCAGGTCATGCAAACATTAGAACCCTATAACATCAACTGTTGTGCCATGTTTTTATTTTTTATCATTATTATTTTTTTTGCTTTAGTACTGCAATTGTTGTAATCATTTTACTTCTTTTGAGTCTGTGAAACATCAATGGGTGCTATGCCTTTAATTAAAACCTAGGTGTAGATTTACTGCAATTGTTGTAATCATTTTACTTCTTTTGAGTCTGTGAAACATCAATGGGTGCTATGCCTTTAATTAAAACCTAGGTGTAGATTTACTGCAATTGTTGTAATCATTTTACTTCTTTTGAGTCTGTGAAACATCAATGGGTGCTATGCCTTTAATTAAAACCTAGGTGTAGATTTACTGCAATTGTTGTTGTCATTTTATTTCTGTTGAGTCT